ATCGGTGGCAATATTGATTGCATGGGGGCGATGGGTTGTTGTGGCCTCCGAGGGGGAGGGCCACTCCCTAACTATAGCTGGTCTCTATTGATGCACTGTCTCTTATACACATCTAGATGTGTATAAGAGACAGGTGTGTGTGTGTGTGTGCTGCTGACGGCAGGATCGTGTGTGATCGCACTATCTTCCTTTGAACACAACACACGCAGATAACATACGTATACAATGCTACAAGCTATCTTTCGGGCCGAGTACAGAGTGTGTGTGTGTGTGCTGCCCACCCTACGTGTGAACCCAGTAGTGCCTGGCAACGTTTGTCGGGGCCGACAGACCCTGTCCCTGCGAACCTCCACCTGGCCTAAACACTGTAGATTCAGCGGCGGTATTTGTCGACGAAATGAATCGACAGTGCGGGGGCTGATGGAGTGGTGGTTTAAACCCTAAGAGACACAAAGTGCCTAGTAGTGGGCATGCAAGGAAATGCTCTTAAAGAAACAGACCGAGGCAGACTTGGTGATTGGGAAAGGGCTCAGTATCCACATTTTTTGTCCATCCAAAAAAAAAAAAAAAAGGGGCGTGATTTCAAGAATGAGGCATTGTTCTGACACTGAGGTGTTCTGACAACACCCTTACAACTTTCTGCAATCCCCGTGAACTTTCGGCGATACGCATTTCTCCCTGCGACTGTGACGGGTGTTGTCGGACAACCTCAATGTCACACACCTCAATGTCACCTCAATGTCACCTCAATGTCACCTCAATGTCCCTCGCAACTTTCGGCAATACACATCGCTTCCTGCGCCTGTCAAGGGTGTCGGCGTATGCATGTCTCCCTGCCCCCTTGAGCTTTTGACAACACAATCAGTTGAAGGGATGCGCCTCGCAACAGAGGCATTTGACATAGAGATCGTCTTTTTTGTAAGTCATTCGGGAGATCCGTTCAAATTGGAACAATGCACAGAAGATTAGCATGGCCCCTGCACAAGGATGACACACATAAGGGGTCCAAAATCCAAATTTAAAAAGACGAAAGAGGCCGTCTTTTATACCCCAACCTTGAGCTTTCCTGAACTTCTCGCGCATGTGTTGCTGCATTCATCCCCCCCTCCAATGTTGTACACCCTTGAGCCCTCTGCATCACCCTTTGAAGTTTGTGTGTGTGTGTGTGTGTGTGTGTGTGTGTGTTTTGGTTTGGGGAGTTAACCAAGGTTATGACATCTAGATTATCTTACAATTGCAGGTCGGAGGGATGCGGCTCATTTTTGAAATCAACAGGCATTTGATGCCGAAGGCAGCGGTGGAAACTGTGTGTCAGGAAGATAGCAAAAAACAAGCTCCACAAGGATCGTAATCGACGGCGCTAAGTGTTGCGAGCATGGTGTCCCTCTCCCCCCTCTCCATGGCTAGCAGTAGTTTGTTTTATCCGGAAGCCGACCTGTGGCGCAATCTGTGTGACGACAACAAGAGCACGGCGAAAAGCAATCTCTACAGGGACCGTCTTCACACTGCCGACCGTTTGAAGGCCTACGGTGTCATGTTCTCCCTTCCCCCCCTGTGGGAGGGGTGGTTTTCACCCCTTCTCCTCACGGTACTTTGGTCTTTGCCACACCCCTCGTGAAATGGAAAAATGCAAGTGTATCTTTCAGGAAAACAAAAGAAAAAGTGCAGTAAAATGTATCAGTTCGCTATTGGTTACCCGGCAGTATTTAGCCTTTTAGAGGGTAGTCCTCTCGTCGATGTTTTCTGTACTCCGAAGGCTGTGGCGGCATCTGTGTGGCGAAGATCGTGACAAAAAGCGGGCTACCTTGAAATTTCTACCACTTCGGGGTATTGCTACATGGTGGTTAAGAAACTCGGCTCTCGAGGCTGAGGACGCCGGTTCGTATCCGTGCATGCACGGAGGAGGTCCGAAGCCAGCAATTGTGCTGATTACAACCACAGGCGGACGGATGCACCGTATGGCAAAGTGCGCTGTCCACAGGGGTCGCCGTGGGTGCACTGGTTGTCACTAAATGTGCCTTCTTGGTGTTTCCTTTGGTCGACCGGTTCTTTCTGGACTCCCCTCTCAGTCCCCCTTTGGTGCCCATTCCTTGTACAGGCTATCGACTCTTCATTCTTTTGTCGCATGATGGCCCTCGCTCCACTACACAACACTCTTATATGTATCTGGAACTCATAATTGTTCTGATACCTTCAAAATGTCGGACAACTCCGAACGAACATGCTCTAGAAAGGCGTCCAAATGCATGAAGAATGTTTAGTGGTGGAGTTAGGCCCCATGTTAGAACCCTGCATACTATCGGAAGATTCTGCACTGGAAACTCAGAGAGTGGCAATAGCAGAACTTGTTTTCGGGTTTGTTTTTTGTTTTTTTTTTTGGATCATTTTTTCAGATAATTTTTGGTTTGGATAACTTTCTCAATATCCTAATGTGCAAGCAGTGGTTTCCTTTGTTCACAAGCAGCGGTTTAAAAAATATTATGTCGTCGACTCGTGATTCGTTTTCCTCCCTTTTCTTCCCTTCCGTCGATGGAAAGGGGAAGCCGCAAATAATGATTTCCTTTGTATAGTACTTGCAAAGAGCAGAGACGGCATGAGTGCTTTCATTGGTACCATTGGCGGATGTATTTCTGACCACCTTTCGAGCAGTGCCTCTCCGGATTGTAGTGAGCCTGCAAATCAGGCACACCCTTTGCAGCAATTTAGTCTTGTTAATCCCTTACATCGAGTCATCAGGTGTTCAATTGTGTGCTGCTGCCCTTTTACCATACACACACACACACAGACAGAGAGAGAGAGAGAGAGAGAGAGAGAGAGAGAGAGAGAGAGAGAGAGAGAGAGAGAGAGA